ACACACACACACACACACACACACACACTCACACACACAGTACTCATCACAAAAGACGCCTTATTGTTTTTGTTTTCATTCCGCCAGACACAGGTCAAGGTCACAGCCTCCTGACTGGCGTGGACCAAGTGGACTCTCGAGTGGAGATCAACGGCTCCACAGCTTCTTTGGTTGTGCTGCCAGGGCCAGCTATTGCGGAGAGTTCGGGCGCAATCGCCGCGGTCAACTCACAGTTGTCCAGCCTCTTTCCTACTAACCCCACGGCCTGCCAGCCCATGATATTTCCTGTGACCTCTGACCTATGCACTGTCCCGACCTCTGTTGTTTCCGGTGAGTTTTGATCTTTTAACTCACTACAGTTCCCGTCACAGGTATGGGACGGGGACCGGTTTGCCGGTCATATCCCGTACCCCCGAAGGGGTGGACTTTGGGATTTTGTCCCGTATCTTGTGCTCCCGTCACATGCACGGTAACGGACTCCAGTGCTAGTTTTGCCACTTGTTTCGTTTCGTGCCGAGTAGGGCGGAAGTTGCATCGTAACATTTTAAGTACAGGGTAATCCAAAACAAACTTTACAACTTTTTTTTATAAATATCTCGCGCAAATGTTGCTCTAGAAAGATGAAATTTAGAACAGATAAACTTCATTCAAAAAGAATTTGTTTGACATAAAATTCATACAGAAGAAACTTATTTTCAGAATGGAAAAAGCATAAAGAAAAAAACACCCATAAATGCATAATTGCGCCAATAAAAAAAAAAAGACAGTCTCGCAAGGAAAGTCATGAGACGATTGATTAGATTTTTGTCTTCTTTTTCCCTATAACATTAAATTGTTCCAACCTTGTGACATTAAACAATATTTAACTTCTTTTAGGGAGTTAAAGAACTATCATTTTTGTTGTGGAATTTCTAAAACAAATGCTTCACATGTCCTCCTTTGGACTCCAAACATCTTTTAACGCGTCATTTGAAATGCTTGATGACAGCCAAACACAGTTCCCATGGAATATTTCTCACTTCATCACGGATTGCTTGTTTCATAATTTCAATGTTTTCAAACTGGTTTTGAAATATCCTGTCCTTGAGATAACCCCACAAGAAAAAGTCTAAAGGATCCATGTCAGGAGAATGCGGAGCCCAAATGTGTTCACTTCTGCGACTGATCACATGATTTCCAAAGTGGTCAGCTAGCTTGTCATTGATCTGACAGAAACATCTTGCATGAACCACTGGTCTTGGCGATCCAAGTGCCAGTGTCTCCCCAGATGCGTCCTGAATTTCTTCAGCGCCTCAATGTATCGGTCTGTGTTCACAGTTGCAACATGTCCGTCTGCGTCTTTAAAAAAAAAAGACCCACCAAACCATGAGTGCTTAAAGCCACCCACACTCTACACCTTTCAGCATGGAGTGGCTTCTGGAGACAGTAGGGAGGTGGGTGGGATGCCCAATAGACAGCATTTTTGGAGTTAACATATCCCAGACCTGCCACTCATCCCGATTTAGTCGGGATATCCCGGTTTTCCCCCCCAAATCTCAATCCTCCCGATTTTCCAGATTTCGATCGCGTGTATCCCGATTTTTTGTCCCAGTCCGCTGTTGTGCCGGATCTGTCTAAAAACTTACTTTGCCTTCTCCTTTATTGCTTGAAGCACTCGTCAAACTTTTTGTCAGTAGGAACTCGGAGCACTATTTCCCGAAATATCGATGCCGCATTTAGTAGTTGACTAGCCCCAAGTTGTGTGTGATCTTTTCCCGCTCTCAGAATTCTCCGATGATAGCCTGGTAACTATTACAATTTGAGACAAACTGTTACAATTTGGGACATTTAATAATCGATAATATTCGTAGTTCCGCTGTTACTTTCAAGATAAGCCTTGTCCGAGGTCTGGTAACTGCGCGTTCACATCAAACACTCGGACGAGCGACAGTCGTAAGAGTTTTGTTGGTACATTTGGTCGGTCGGCCGCTGTCAGTAGAACGACTGTCGCTCATCCGAGTGTTTTGTGTGAACGTGCAGTTAGTCGGACCCGTTAGTAAAATTGTTTCAATCACGCATTCGCGTCACGTGACATATCATCGCTGTGCGAGTTCTGCGTGTCGGGGACCGTCCGTTGACGGGGTCAACTTAAGTTCATTTATTTCGGGACTTATTGGTAGGGGTGGGGGGGTATAGACACTTGGACAAGGATTGCTTGACGCGATGCTTCAGGATTTACAAAAAATAATGATAACTCGCACGCGCACACACACACACACACACACACACACACACACACACACACACACACACACGCACGCGCGCCCGCAAACAAAGACACACAGAGGGCATATTGGCCAAGGAATTTATGGACACCTGTTGATCCCGATTTTTTTCACCAAATCCCGATTTTTTCTCCCTGATATCCTGATTTTGAGGTTTCATAGAGTGGCAGGTCTGCATATCCTGAAAGTTGAAAATGCGCTTCGTCACTGAACCATATGTCATCTAAGAAACTTTCGCGTTCCCCAAGGCGGTTGAGGAACCACCGACACATTGCCATCCTCTGTCCCCGGTCAGTCAGCGTTTACCTAACATGAATGTGGTCTGGGCGTAAGTTAAGATCTGCTTTAAGAATACGGACTGTCTATGTGTATGAAAGTCCTAGCTGCAGGCATCGTCGGCAGACAGATGTCTCATTAGATTCAGCTACTGAGCTCTGCACCCTGACGATGTTTAGAGGGGTTCAAATGGTCCACGTTCGACCTGAAGCGGTCGCTTTTTCTGGAGATTTTTTGTTTTGGTTTTCGATACTCCCAAACTGACGGAACTTTTTTACCCATAACATCAAAGAAGGCCTTAATGGCACTTTAGCATTCTTCTCATACCTTGTGCGGAACTTACAAAATGTCAGGGATCGTGATTTTGTTGAGAGGTAATGTTCAATACAAAATGCTCTCTGCTCCTTATTAAACTGAACCATGATTTGGGTTTTTAAAAAAGGAACTTGAAAAATAATGTCTTCAAACTTCCGTTGGCCTGTTACTCTGCTTTAGCTTGCAATATGACGCAATTGTTACAACGTTTTGTGGTAATGCGTACTAGTGTGTAGTATAATAACTGGGGACAAAAGCGAAAAATGGGTTGTTTTTTATATGCGCATTATACTGCAGAATTATTTAGTGGAATCATCTAAAATGAATATCAGTCAAATTCCTTTTGAATGAGGAATATTGTGTTCAAATTTGAAGACAAAAGCTCCAGTGTGGAGGAAAATATTTACGAAAAAAAAGTTGTGAAGTTTTTTTTTGATCACCCTGTAATTGAAGGTTAAGGAAAGTCACCCCAACTGGGGTTGATCTGACCGGAACTCGCATTATGTTTTTTTTTTATACAGCTGATAGTAATTTCACTGTCGCGTTGCGAAGTAACGGTCAAAGAAAGGGCATGAAGAAGAATCACATAATTTCGCTGTTTTCGATACTTCTCTTCGTTTTACTAGTTCTTGTGACTCAGAATATGACGTGTCTGATAGTTAGGACCCTGGGTATGTACCAGAACATGGCCCGAGTCGTAGTTTTAGGGCTAGATCTAGCACTAGTACTGGTGTTGTTCGCGCAACGAAATCACAACTTCGTGCCCTACATCTGTCTCTTGTAATTCATTGTTTGGGTCTGCATCAACGCACAGCTTATATTTTCACCAAACACTCACACATACATACACATCAAAGCAGAACACTTTGAGCTTTAATTTTTGTTGTTGTGAATTTAATTCTATCTGTCATGTCTGGAAATTTTTCGAAAAATAGAATTCATGCCAATTTTTCTTTAAATCATAAAAATTTAAGTTTTAGACTTTGACAACTTAATTTTTTTGTATTAGATTAAGCTGGAATTTAACTTTACTGTGTCAAAAAATAATTACAGTAGGGTAATTCTGAGAGTTGTGGTAGTGTTTTGAAATACTCCCAAAATGCCAGTATTCAGCACCAGTGACTGGTGAAAGGGGCCAATAGTCAGTGTTAAGAACATGTTTTTGATCTTCTTTTGATAGAAACAATATAATTTATATAATGTTACCAATATAATATAGTAATAATATTGTTGTTGTTGTTGTTGTTGATCTTCTTTTGATATAAATGATATAATTTATATGTTGCCAAATAATGTAGTAACAATATCATTGTTGTTGTTGTTGTTGTCCTCATTCTCCTCCTCCTTCTCCTCTTCTTTCTTCTTCTTCTCCTTGCTAATATAATTCCCTCTTCTACCTTGTTTTTGCAATCATCATTTCCTGATGAAAGGGGAGGAGAACAAGTATTTGGTATCCTTGGACCAAACTGCCTTCTCTTGTTTCAGCAGTGAGCTCACTACCTCACCACCACATGGTACAAGTGGACTTTGTCGGAGGCTCCGGTGATGGGCCAGACATCTCCGAGCTGGGAGGGGAGCTGGACATCGGCTCTGGTCAAGAAGGGTCAGTTGCCGAACAACCGGCAGACAGCACCGACGTCAGCCCGCCGGAGGAGGTCAAGCTTGCAGGTTCGGCCGACCTGCTGGGCGTCGTGACGACAGACCAGTCTGACGACTGTGACGGCACTGTCGCTATGTGTGGGGAGCAGCCTGGGAGTTACGCTAACTCTCACGATGCAGAATTCCTGACCCAGGTCATTGTTAGTTCTGGGGTTACTTGAAATAAAGCTCGAGTTTAGGAATTTAAAAATACTTCTGAGCATATTATGAATGTAAAGAATAAGGTTGTATTTTCTCAAACCTCTGCCCATTTGCAGTGGAACTCGGATTCAACGAACTGGAATTCAACGAGAACTTGGATTCAACAAAAGGAGGTGATTCCTGGTTTTTTTCTTTTATAGAATCAATAAAAATAACCCGGATTCAACCAGCACTTAAATCAGCAAGCTCAGATTCAACGAGGTCGCTTCTAGGGTGAACAGCCCATGCAGATGTGGTGTCGCTCATTTTTCTCCCACAACGGACTTTATGTATTCCCGGAAACCATCCATTGCACCTGCATCGTGAACCATTATTCACTTACCCAATTGCATCGACCGATCAGCGGTTTTCTTTCATACCGACATATATATATGTTGTTGGCATGCGCACGTGTCTACTCTAGGCCGTGTGGCAGCCTGCACACACATGTGACCGTGACTGTGTGTGCGTGTCGGGGGGGGGGGCACCATCGGTCCGGACGTTGAACGTCACAGATGCAAATTCGTCAGTCTTTTTTCCCCCCAGCAACTGATCATTATTAAAATGACAAGCTAGTCTTGATAAGTACGTAATGAATTATGCGCTGGTCCATGGAATCAAAAGTTGCCGTATTCTAATCTCTACACAGCAACACAACTTTCTGGCAAACAATTGAGATGACACAGGCGTGCATTTGAACGAATCGGTCTTTTTTTTGCTCTACTCATAATATGCAGGCATTTCAGGCACCACTTGTTACTTCTCTTTATACATTACTTGCTCAGTGCCTGTAATTATCTACACAAAACATCATGTTTGCCATAACGAACACTCTAATTCAACGAGATTTTAGGTCAGGCCCGGCATCCTCGTTGAATCCGAGTTCCACTGTATTTGTTCACTCTTTGTTTGTAGTTCTGATGCAAGTGATGGGTAGATGGCACTGTCTGCCACACCAGATGATAATGGTTGAGCTGTAACCAACTGGAAAAAATTCATTACCATGAAAAGATTTCAATTCTCTGTTTTTTCCCCCCCCCATTTGATTCTGTGCATAGCAGCTTCCCTTCTCATGAAATCTGTCTTATGCTGTTGTGAGCAAAACAAAATCTGCTGCGTCTATCATCTTTAGCACTCCTCCTTCTTTTTTTGTGTTTGTTACTCTCTGGAAACCTGATTGTGTTGCAAGTGCTAATTGAACTAAATAGAAATCTTTTTCACATGAAGAAATTCTTTGGTCCTGTGACGTTTGTGATACTGATGCCAGACTTACTGTGTTTACTGTCGTGAAGAGAAGGGCGAGAGGGGGAAATTGTGAGGGGGGATCAGCAGAAGAAGTATGAGGGGAAAGAGAGTGAATGGGAATTTTATTCTGTTTCAAGACTCAGGTGAGGTCAATGAAATCTATGCCTCTAATCAGTCTCCGCAAATCTCATTGAGGGTCTGTCCTGTGGACTATCAATCAAGGGAGATTATCGTGGATTTGTCATCGGCTGCTTGGTACTGTCGTCCCTCCAGGATCTCGTTTGCCTCACAAATCATTTCTTTCTGATTCTGTGATCAGCTAGTTAAGTTACAGACTACTTACAGTTATGCAAAACGGATTATTTGGTTCTTTTGGACTTTGACTAGGGCAAGCCAGCATATTTTTACTGTCGCCAAAAAAAAAAGAAAAAAACAAAACAAACTCTGTTGAACTCTACTTTACAGGGGTCAGCAATAAGTAAAATTGAAGATAGTAATGTTTCTTGTGACAGTGACATTTTTACAGTACATTTGCTCAATATGGACTGAGTGGGATGTTTTTGGACTTAACACTTTGTGGTCATTTGACGGAATAATGCGATGGTGAAAGTTATCCGTTCCCGTCACTTGACACAGTTTTGCGACAGGCCCGAGAAATCCGTTGCAGTCACTCTCCTGGCTGGGGGACCAGATGGGGTATTTTGTATTGCTGGCTGTGTGACTGCAAAGTGTTAAGTCATTTTGGGGAGTATTTAACTTTTAACAAGCTAAACAACCTAAGTTGCCCATCTTGTTGTTTATGGTCTATGTTTTCAGCAATAACTATGGTTGTTAATGACAATGTCAGTTTAATTGTGATAATCTATATTTTTACATTGTGATATCGGTGATTTGCAAATTAAAGCAAGCTGAAGTAAGACTGCCATATGTAATGCTGTCTTAACTGTGCTTGAATGTAATAAATAAATGCCGGTTTTTAAAAAGATTCCCATTTCTAATTGTGTTGTAGACGTTTACCTTGTTGTGGCAAATGTTCATTGTGTCTTGTTTGTTAAGTAAACTTTTTGAAACATATGGAATAGTTCAAAAGGTTGAGGTTTTAATGAGATCCACCTGATTTCTGCTGGTAATATCAGTCTCATATTAGTGTCTGATGTTATAATAGCTGATTTATGCTATGCAAAAAAATGGCACAAGGTGGTGGAATCAGGTGCTCATCATTTTTTGAGCAGACAGATTATTGGCAGCAATTTAAAGCTTGTTCACTTGTATTGCCTTTGTTGAAAAAATACCCATCTTTCTTGAATAGAAGTCCAGATATTTGCGATTGATGGAGGTGGGGGTCACCTCGCTTCGCATGTAAAATTATCCAGAAAATGGCTGTCAAAGTTTAGTGACTGAGAAACTGCAAATTTACAATTGTTGTGCCTCTGATCAATGTTTTTCAGTAAAATCCACATAGGAATGCAGTTTGAAATAATATATTATAGAGATAAAAAGTGTTGAGACAAAAAAAACAATTAAAAAAAAACTGCTGAACATGCAGTATAAAGTTCCCGTTTCTTTGATTTCATTATTTTTTTGAGCGCCAGATTTCACCATGGTACCAAACAAATGTTGTTGCTGTGAGTGGAAGGAGAAAGCAGATGTTCCGCACTCTGTTTTGTTGTCTTGTGCCCCCTCAGGTGATGTGTGTAGTCTGTCACTATCATGTCATGTCCCACAGGTGTTGTGTGTAGTCTGTCACTATCATGCCATGTCCCCTCAGGTGTTGTGTATAGTCTATCACTGTCATGTCGTGTCCCCTCAGGTGATGTGTGTAGTCTGTCATGTCATGTCCCCTCAGGTGATGTGTGTAGTCTGTCATGTCATGTCCCCTCAGGTGATGTGTGTAGTCTGTCATGTCATGTCCCCTCAGGTGATGTGTGTAGTCTGTCACTGTCATGTCATGTCCTCTTAGGTAATGTATAGTCTGTCACTGTCATGTCATGTCCTCTCAGGTAACGTATAGTCTGTCACTGTCATGTCATGTCCCCTCAGGTGATGTGTGTAGTCTGTCACTGTCATGTCATGTCCTCTTAGGTAATGTATAGTCTGTCACTGTCATGTCATGTCCTCTCAGGTAACGTATAGTCTGTCACTGTCATGTCATGTCCCCTCAGGTGATGTGTGTAGTCTGTCACTGTCACTGTCATGTCCCCTCAGGTGATGTGTGTAGTCTGTCACTGTCATGTCATGTCCTCTCAGGTAATGTGTGTAGTCTGTCACTGTCATGTCGTGTCCCCTCGGGTGATGTGTATTTTCTATCACTCTCATGTCCCCTCAGGTGATGTGTGTTTTCTGTCACTGTCGTGTCCTCTCAGGTGTTGTGTGTAGTCTGTCACTGTCATGTCGTGTCCCCTCAGGTGTTGTGTGTAGTCTGTCACTGTCATGTCCCCTCAGGTGATGTGTGTAGTCTGTCACTGTCATGTCCCATCAGGTGATGTGTGTAGTCTGTCACTGTCATGTCATGTCCTCTCAGGTAATGTGTGTAGTCTGTCACTGTCATGTCGTGTCCCCTCGGGTGATGTGTATTTTCTATCACTCTCATGTCCCCTCAGGTGATGTGTGTTTTCTGTCACTGTCGTGTCCTCTCAGGTGTTGTGTGTAGTCTGTCACTGTCATGTCGTGTCCCCTCAGGTGTTGTGTGTAGTCTGTCACTGTCATGTCCCCTCAGGTGATGTGTGTAGTCTGTCACTGTCATGTCATGTCCTCTCAGGTAATGTGTGTAGTCTGTCACTGTCATGTCGTGTCCCCTCGGGTGATGTGTATTTTCTATCACTCTCATGTCCCCTCAGGTGATGTGTGTTTTCTGTCACTGTCGTGTCCTCTCAGGTGTTGTGTGTAGTCTGTCACTGTCATGTCGTGTCCCCTCAGGTGTTGTGTGTAGTCTGTCACTGTCATGTCCCCTCAGGTGATGTGTGTTTTCCGTCAGTGTCGTGTCGTTTGTGTGTAGTCTGTCACTGTCATATCGTGTCCCCACAGGTGTTGTGTATAGTCTGTCACTGTACTGTCATGTCATGTCCCATCAGGTGTTGTGTATAGTCTCTGTATTGTCGTGTTGCCTCTGGTGGTGTGCGTAGTCTGTCACTTTCATTTCAAGGCTGGTCCTGACTTCTGCGTTATATTGGCTATGATCATCTGCAAGTGTCATTTAGAGCTCTCTCTGTTTCTTTGCCCCCCCCCCCCCCTCTCTTTCTCTGTTTCTGTCTCTCTGTTTCTCTCTCTCCTGCCCTCTCTCTCTATATTATACATAATAATTATAAATGACATTTATATATAGCGCTCAACCCCGAATGGGTACTCCTTTATTAAACTTTATTAGACTTTGTTCTTCAGAACAAACATGCGTGTGGGTGGTTGGCGGGTGCCCTGGTGTGGTTTGCTTCTTCTTTCCTATGAAACATCTATTGTCCTTATCTCCCCTTCTTCTTTTTTTGTTTGTTATTCTCTTGTGACTCCTCTAATCTTCTGGTGCTCATATGACCTTATGCAGTTGCGAATGCCGTATAACCTCAACTAAAACTAAAATATGACCATATGCAGTTGTGAGCGCTGTAAAACCTCTACTTAAACTAAAAAAGACACGCACGCAGATTCACACACACACACGCACGCACGCCTGCACACACGCACGCACACACGCACGCACACACACGCGCACGCACACACACACACACACACACACACACACACACACACACACGAGAAGAGAAATGAGAAAACTCTGAGACAGTCAAGTGTGTCAAGATTTTGGAAGACTTTTATTACATAGTCTGTGTCTAGATATATGTATATGTTATATATGTATATATATAATTTATATACAAGACTGAAAGCTCAAGAAAGCCATAGATGGAGAAGATAGCCCTACCATGCTAAGTACGCCACATTATTCTGTCCTCAATAAAAAAACAAACCTTTAAGCTTCTCGCTCTTTTCAACACTATAAGGTTATTCAAGAGGAAGGACCTCTGAATTTTACATCCATCTCCAATAAGACAGAGCCAAATGGGTGGAGAGCCTTAAAAACTTCCCTAAGACAACCCAAGTTCAGAATGCCCCGTTGCGGATTTGAACCAGGGCCATAGTCCAACATGATACTGACTGAGGTAAAGGAGTACCCATTCTGTCCTCAATATATCTTGAATCTATGTCTACAAGTAAGAATTTTCGGATTTGAATACTTTTCTCCTGCATAGATCAAAATACATGTTTGAGCAGTTGTAAAATTTTCCAAACACTTGGTATAATATATTTTAAAACTGAGATTCGAAGAAATGGAGGTGATTAGACTTTGTTCTTCATGTGCCACATCTGCACAAGCCTAAAAACAATCTTAAGCAAGAAATATTTTCACTTGATATTTCTCTAACGTTTAATAAATTGGTCAGTTTGATCAGTTCACTAGTACTTTTGTTGAAGTCTGTAAAGATGGGGTAATAATAATAATAATAATTTTCATCGTAATTGTTTCATTTGACAGAATAAGGCAGCATTTGGAGGGCATCACTTTGTCTTGTTGATAAAGGCAAATGTTAATACAGATTTGTTCATGCAGCTCTCTCTAACACACACATTCCATCTCACAAAATTACAAAGAATGACAGAGAAACAAATGGAGTCAAAGATGGCATAGCTTCATATCAATAAATAGCATCATGTTCAAATGTACAGTGCACCCCTGTTGAAAGGGACCAATCAACTATTCTTGTTTTTTTGTTTTCATACACAGGTGTTTTACACTCTCATCAACACAATTTAGGTAATTTAGGAGGTGGGTTGGGCTTCACCTTGCCTGCCAGGGCCAACCCGAGCTGAAAGGGACACAACGTCCTAGTAGAAAGACGGAGACGCTCGATTAAAGTTCTCCCCTTATGAGAATCAAAGCCAGGTCTTCTGTGTGCGACCTAAAGATATGGGGAATTTTACCATTCATCGATATACCACTACATGTACCAGGTATGTCAGTATGGCATTGAAGGGGTATCTTATTCTTTATGAATCTTATCTCTGCTACCAGTACTTGTAAACCTCAAATGAATAGTGCCAGACTAAGACAAAATTAAAAAAAATAGAAACAGATCAGTGCTATGTGTCAGATGCTACAGCAGAGTAAACCCAGTATCCTTCAGCTGACTCAACTCAAATGTAAGTATAGGGAAGCTGGATTGTAACACCACATCACTTGCAAGATTTGACTGCACGGAAATTTTTATCCCTACCTCTGATTAATTCAAACAATCATCTTAATCTGTCCCCATTGTTTTATGCACCCCGCATGATTCAGCAAAATTTGATCATTTTTTTCATAATTTCTGATTATTTTCCTTTTTCATTTTTTGTTAAAATGAACAGAATCGCATAATTTCACATTTTTGGGCTCAGTTTGCATTATTTCAGAATTTTTCTTGCATAAAACGACAGGGACAGCTTAATAAACAGATGCACTCCTACACTTGATATTGAATTTGTTTCAACAAGGGTCTACTGTACTTTTACAAATCAAACCAAGACTTCATTGAGCAAAATTTTGGCAGGAGGCAGGTTGTAAACAGGAGGAAAACTTGACAATAAGCTGCCGACCTGCCATTGACACAGACACCCTCACATGAAGCAGCTGTTGTTTGCAGTGACTAATAACAAGCCTATTCTCCTGTCCAGGTTGCCCAAGAGAGATATATATATATATTTTTACATACGTATATATATATATATGTGTGTATATATATATATATATATATATTACATTTTACAATAATATGTATAAAACGGAGATTCTTGGTTTTTTTGAGAGCTCACCATGAAGGAGAACATATGACATGTCACATTGTCATTGATCGACCGATGTCATGTTGTCTTAATCAGATGGGATGACATCATTGTCAGACTGACTGATATTATGATGTCATCAGCAGATGGCCCGATAGTCACGATGCCATTGCCAGATTGACTGATGTTATTATGTCATCATAAGATCAACCAATGTCATGATGTCATTGTCTGACATGTCATGATGTCATCGTCAGATCGATTATCGACCAATGTCATGACATCATTGTCAGATAAGACAGATTGTCTCCCATTGGCAGAGAGTGGCCATGTTTATAATCAGATGGTGCAATGTTGAAGTCTGCAGTGCTTACCACAATGATGCTGGGCTGTGGGCTCAGAGGAAAACTGTCAACTTTTCAGAGGATGCTTCTACTCAATGATAGTACATAACAAGATGGGCCACTTCTCTCTTTGAGCCAATTAAAAAAGTGTCCTCCAAATTTGGTGGCGCCCTCTTCACAAAAGCGCACTCTTTGCGAACAGAGTTACCCTACTTGAGTTTTAAAAAATCAAAGTGAAACTAGCAAGTTTTGGGATAAATTTCGGAAGAACGCTTTTTTAAAATGGTTACGCTGACAAAAAACCTCTTCCGGAGGAAAGGGTGATGGTTTTCTTTGTTTAATTTGACTTTAGAATGAAAGGCGAGAGGTCATTAAAATATAAAAAAACTAAAACTCCGCACTGAACGTACCCGAACTGCTGATGAACAGCAGTCGATCTGCGCACGCAAGGAGGTGCTATTCCTATTCTTCTTCTGGAAAAACGAAAGAGAGCTTCAAAACAGACTGCAGCGCCATCTGAAGCAAAGAGCATACTTCCTGCGGACACTTTTTGGGCTGAGTGGCCCATCTTGTTATGTATTATCATTGTTCTACTTCCTGTGTGTTGGACAGTTTTTCTTATATAAGTAAGTTTAATTTGATTTTCTTTTAAAATCTAGTCCAAGATACAAAGAATAGGAAATGAAAGGTTCCATTGCTACTATAGCCTACATTATACACCAAATCTAGGCATTCTATAATTTTAGTTTTCAAAATGCACTGTATCCATCGATATTTAGTATAATAAAATTGTGTTTTCTTCGTACTTTTGTTTTCAGAGAGTAGAGTAAGTCCCCCCCATTTTTTCTCCGTTTTGTTGTAAAATAGTTATACATGTAATGAGGTTTGAAATGGAGCCTTTCAAAGGTTTGATTAATTTAAAAATATACGGTCTGCTTCAGTTGGATTCAGTGAGATTCAGTTTCATTTTAAGCTTGAGTGGAGCAATGATACTCTAATGAACAGAGATAAACTTTTTTGTATTTTATTCAATGTTGGACCCTGATTGACATGAGCAAAATATGTAATTATTCAAAGTTTCTAAGTGGAAAAACTGTTTTGAACCAAAGATTAATTTTGCCAGCTTTCATCTAAATTTATGATTATGGCTCAAAAATGATGTCATGTTAAATATGTGCAAGGACACTCAAAGCTTACACACACAAAGAAACACAGGTGAATGGTCCTGGAGAAAGTAGATGAATTAATTAATAAAGCAACAATATTATTTACACATACAAGCCCTAAAAATCTTCATACACATGAAAACACAAGCACACACACACACACACACACACACACACACACACACACACACACACACACACACACACACACACATTTTCAGTCTGTCGTTTATTTTTTCAGTGAGTGGAGAACCATTGTTGAGGGAAAAAAACCCACACATTCTCTTAACCTTACATAATCCACTGAATACTGTATGTGACTTCTTGCAGTCATTCATAATCCACTGAATACTGCTCATGAATACTGTAAACATGCTCACAATCCCGAGGAAGTCAAGATTCGATATATTATGTTTTGAAAAAGTTGAAAGCTTTCTTCAAAAGTTGCTATAGGTCTTCTTCATCTCTCCGTGTAATAGGAAGCTAACTACAATGGTCATTTACTGTTCTATTACAAAAAGAAAATTCTGTACCCAAAATGTATTACTATTACAGAAGTAGGTATATGTATTTCAATCCTTAACTTCTCAAAAGTGCAGCATTAAGAGCTGGAAAATTATCACTCAAAGGACACAAGTTCTCAATAACTAGATGGGCAGAAGATCTGCACATAGTTCAAAAGTAAGTTATCAAAAGCTTTGATGTTTTAACGGAATTAAAAAAACATTACTTCAGCAAAGTAATACATGTAGGCATACCACAAATACAGTGACATCCTGATTATAGCACCCAAAATAAACAAGCGGAAGTTATAAACTTTTCCCCCTTTTTGGGCCTGACATGGTTCTAAAATATTCCTAATATAATGGTTTATTTTCAAGATTTAATGAACTCTTCCATGAACAACAGATACATAAATAAGAAAACACATAATGGAGTCATGTCTAGTCAACATTTAGTTCTGTGGATGTTGGATTGTCTTGATTTACCATCATGTAGTGTTTATTGTGCTGAAGTTGTCAGGATTTCAACAACTGCATTACCACAACAATAAAATCAATAACATACATGATATTATGACAATCAATAATAAATAATAATATTTATATAACAGATAAATTGATGATTACAGTTCGTTCAAAATTTCACAGGCAAACTTGGAAACATTACTCATTAGTTTTCACATAAAAAACGTCTGTCCTTCCTTTGTAAACACGCACTGATACATTCATGCATAGGTAAGCCTCAATACACTGAAAAGCAAATAGATCTTAAATTATAACCTTAGCAGGCAGAGATAATAAACAATAATGCAATGAAATATCACAAAAGCAAAAAGATTTCCTAGATGGATCACATTACAACGATAATGAATGACAGCAGGCAAAATTTCAATGTTTGTATCCAAAGTCATTCTTCCTTCTAAATCAAAATTTCCTACTAATACTTGTGTAGCGTGACCTTCAAAAGACCAATATTTGTTCATCTATATCAACTAAAGCACTAAGAATTTTAGTTACCAGCTCATCATCAGCAAAAGGAAGAGGAAACATTTATGCAGTGCATCATACCCACTTGTCATGTTGTTTCTGGTTTCTGATCGTTCACACTTTCAAAGGAATTCAGGGCAAATATATCTTCATGGTACTATGTAAAAAGGTAGTATGTTTTCTAAGTATTTGAGCTGCCATTCTTTGCCTCGACATAACCCTGTATTTTCTGTAAAAATTTTTTTAGCTTTCTTTCCCCAGGTATGAATGATAACAATGAGACTGCACTGGTGTTTTGTTATTTCGGAGAAATTAATGAGGACTAGAAACCCAGATCAAAGCTTAATATGGTACCAACACCCCCCGACTTTAACTTTAACACAACAGATAAAATACAACCTCCTAACTTCACCCCACCTCAACAGAAATAGAGCACATAATCCAAAGTTATTCAAAATTCAACATCATAAGTAAGAGTAATGAAAAACTTGAGTTCTCATTGACACAACTGAATACAAGTAAAATTAAAAAAAAAAAGTATTGAGTACATGAATGAAAAGATAATAGAGTTTGGTAAGATTCACTGTAAACAAGCTTCACGCCTAAAACTTCGTGGTGGGTAGATATATGCAGTAAATAATATCAACTGTACAATAAGGTTATTCTCATCAAGAGATCACACGTCATGCAGAATAGCTCGTAGATGCGGAGACGGAGCAATGAAATTCGATAAAATTAAGTAAGAAAAACGTACATTTTATGCGAACATTAACATTATACATGATTTGCTTCACACACTTTAAAAAAATGTAGGAGATTAAGATTCATATATATGACAGCAGACAGAAGGTTTTTATCCATCGTTGAATCAAGAGGACCAATATTTAGCACCCGACAACTCATTATATATATACAGCTACTTGGAAATACTACTGTCGTAACTCTATTTCAAAGAAAAATTACATCAGCAGTATTTCCCAAGCCTGCAGCACATTAATTTGTGACAAACAGAAGCAGAAAACACCTAGTGAATTTGCTTATCAGTGTCAGAAATCAGTGATGTAAAAATGTAACTGACTAGCGACACTCCACTTTTGATCATTATCTGCAGTTACGATCTCACTCTCACTGCTTTCCATTTAGACTACTTAGTGTAAGACTCGCTTTACAATATTACGAAAAGTGACATATGATAGAGTCCATTTAGACGTAAACACACTTTATATATCATATATTTATATATCATATAATCTGTAAAAAGTATCTAACACTAATCTTGACAAATGAAACAGGCTGCAGAAGCGGTATTTGCCTGAGGCTTATTTCATGTAGCATGAAACTAAATCTGGCTTGGCCACTTTTTGATAGACTGGACCGAAACTAATTCCTGTACCTCAAGTTCAGGGTCAAAATCTGTCAAGGTCATCATCTTCTGAGTTACATTGCGGGTAAGATACATTAAATGACATTCTACTCAGTTTCTGCAAGGGCAATGCTTCAGCGGTGATAAGAAGACACAGCCATTTTGTATCAACACCTCCACTCTTTCTTTTCCCATGCTGACTCTAAACAGTTTTTTTTTCTTTTCCAACTTCATCCTTCGATGCCCCTAGAATCACAGGCTTGTCATGTCACAGCCACAGTGTTGCTTGCTGTCTATTTCACTACTTTGTCTACATCTCACAAGTTCATAGAATAAAAATTAGTTTTGATTAAGCGCCACGTTTATCTTATAGGACAAAACTAAATAATAATAAACCCTCAAACAGAAGGAGTGTCTTTAAGCACCACCACAAAATTCAGGATCATGACCGAAAAAGTATAAGGAAACACAGCTTGTTGAATATTGTGACGTATCTAAAGGAAATTAGGACATGGCATCGACGATGCTTAATTGAATAAATATATATTTTAAGGGAAGGAGATGAAACCGAGATGAAAAAAATGGTTCAGCAGATAGGTCTATGTGGGCTTTCATAATGGGGTAAACTTCATTTGTATTTTACACATCCACTGGCAACCACCCAATGCAGGCAAAAAAAGTACAAGAAAAAGAGGTGTAAATAAAGTTTTTGTAAAGTAACCAGATGGATTTTTTGCAATTTGGTGCAAGGTTCAACTGGAGGTATGCTACAGTTTGGATGATATGGTTACCAGTTGTGAGACAATATCATAAAATGAGTTCACATTCACATTTCCAGTACTGGTATTGAAACTGTTTCACATTTCAAATACTGGCATTCAAACTGTTGCTGTCATATTGCAGGTTATTTCAATCTGCACAAAGTATGGTGAAAGAAAAGGACAGGTCTTAATGAAAAATTTCAAGGAAATGTAGGGTAAAATTACGACAAAACCACTTCTTATAGTGTTATTTCCAGTTGAAGCATGTTAACAAAACACACAGTATTCTGAACTGTTTAAGCACTAATAGTACCCCCACCCTTCAAGTTCAAGAAGAAAGCAAGTATGTGTACAAGTAATGGTGATGAAATATATATACACTACATTACATTCTTCCCTCTGACATAGTTTTTTGCCTTATACATCCACCTTGCAGCATGTGAAAAGTGATTTTTTTTGGTAGGGTTACCACTAAACATCTTACAAAATTTGTCTGTGCTGCCTCAGTGTAGACTCAGCTCACATGAGTAACAAGGTCCTTTGAATCCCCTAGACTAGCACAAGCTGAAAGTCAAAGGGTAATCTCATTATGTCAATCCAAATGGCACGTGCTCCTCAAAGAATTCTCTTTTCAAGAATCTTCAGGGCTTTTTGATTGTCATTCTCAACACAAATGCAGAAGTGCCCAAATAAAGGTAAAATGCAGATGACGCTTTTCTCCAATGATACTAATCTAATGTCAAACATTTCTTTTTCATCTATGAGTAAATGTGAGTTATTTTGTAATTTTAAAAAACATAAGGGATGTGTGGAGCAAGGGACTTCATCTTATGTTGAAGAGTTTCATTTGCATATTTTTAGACATCATTTTTTAAAAGCAAAATTTTTTTCGAATTTGTTTCTGTTAAAAAAAAACCTGCATTGAATTTCAACCAGCTTCATTGCCTGTGCATCCATGTACTTCTACTAGATCAATGAGGTGGTCTGTATTAAGTCCAACTACTGACACTGCCTGGAGAAATTGCAGAAACTAAAAGTAGCAGCCTCCTTTCCTGAGAATACTGAAATGTTTTTGCTGCGACAATGGCACCTTACAGGGGAGTGTGGGAAGGGGGAGGGGTGTAGGTCATGATCAGGAACTCTCTAGATCTCTGGACCACTCTATGCTAACAAGATGAGAGTAGCAGAAAGCAGGAGCACAAAGGGCAGCGTGAGGGCGGTGATCACATGACCTGAATCAGATGGGCCGGTGTTTGGTGAACCTGAAAATGACAAAAGGTCCATGGGAAGATGAAATATTAATTTTAAGAATTAAGAGAGAACAGAAGTTTTCAATAGGACTGAACCTAATAAAATAATTTGTGTCATGTGACAGATTGCAAACAAAAGTCTTCATAGTGTCACCAGGAAAAAACTAGTGGGCCACAAGAAAATGCTTGCCGGGCCGCACGTGACCACAGTTTACTCATCACCCACATCTCAAACAACGAGGCGGTCAGAGCCTGCATCTATTACCTCACCACTCATTTACATTGGCTATCATCTTTGGCATAATAGAGATGGGCTCATTGCTTTGTAAGCAAGGGCACGAGTTTTTTAAATTCCAGAGTCGTTTTTCTTAAGAGTACAGTGGAACCTGCTCTAATGAACACCTGTCCTTTTCCATCAACTGTACAAACAACCACGTCTCATCCCCCCTGCCCCTGCTAATCCCTTGCATTAAAAAAATAAATATTATAACACTGTCCAATATGACCACGTTTCTCCTTGACTATAAATCACTATTAAATGGTCGTCTTGGACAGGTTCGACTTTATCCTCATCTGTCTGCCTGAATGCTATACAATCTCAAGCCCGGGTTGCCAAACTGTTCCAACATGACCTAAATTGTGTGGATGAGGACGTATATATTTATATATACATTCCCCAACCATAACATTTCCCAATCATTACATTCTCCAACTATTACATTCCTCAATCATATTTTCCAATCATTACATTCCCCAAACTATTACATTTCCCTAACATTATATTCCCTAATCATAACATTCTTCAATCACTTACATTTAGCGTCATCTCGGAGCTTTGTCACGTATTGCTTCATTTGAGCAGGCACTCTGTCTCCACACGAGTTCATGACCTCTTCCACACAGTTCAGGACTCCTGGATATAACCTGAACAAAGGGGAAAACAAAATCAAACAGAACTTCTCACTCATCTCTGTCTCTGTCTCCATCCTTCTCTCTTTCTCCCTCCTCTCCCCCTCCCACCGCCCCCATCCCCTTTTTCTCTCTCTCTCTTTCCCCCTCCCTCTCCTCCGCGCCTTCCTCTCCCCCCTCTTTCTCTCCCCCCCTCTCTCTCCCTCTCTGTCTGTCAGTCTGT